ATGATAAATTATAAATACAAACTACTTGATCTAGACAAAACAGTATCATATACATACAAAAATCGAATACTTTTCAGTACCTAAATACGTAAATAATTTTTGAGGATGAATAAAGTTAATTTTTGTGTTTTAATTACATCGTGAAACACTGTCTTTAGTGAGGTAAGTTTTGTCGATAAGTTTACTTTCAACACTGCACAGTCGTTAATAATTTGTAATAGATTGTAGCTCAATAAATAATCTTAAATTTTTAAAAATTAATTTGGCTTTTTGTGTGTACTCCGATTATATAACTTCTGAACAAACAAATAATTACTGAAGAATGAAATTTATGGAGACTGGGAAAAATATGACAACAGGATCAACAGAGTAATCAGTCAAGTTCTAGTGAATAAGTATTCTTTTAAAGAAATTGGCCTGTTTGATAAATTTGGATAGTATAATGAGAAGACAAAGATTACCAGAACTGTGTGATGTTTTAGCGCAATACATTTTGAAAAAACTGATCACACACATACCGGTTAAGAAGATTTATACATGAAAAATTGAAGATCGACTGGACAAATGGAGTGTAAAGCTAAGAAAAAACTAATGTGAAAAACAGCATGAAACTCATCACTTTGGATAACAAAACGAATTTACCAAAGTAGGTTTAGGGTGAAAACAAACAGTTTCTAAATACATAAAGGGGTTTAAACGTTTATGTGGTCAACATTTCAGTAAACCTTGGCATTCACCCTTGTACACTTTTATACAACACCATAAAAGCTGAGTTAAGATTAATCTTGTGATCTGCTGAAACTATGTGCTTAGCAACAGCGGATGATGGAGGTTAATCATCTATTTGTATTGGGTCATTTGATTTTGTTTTTGCAACCATTTAGGTCCTTGTTCAGACAGTCTCCCTGTGTACGTATGGTTAGGCACACGTGGTGTAATCATTTACATGCATGGACTTTGTTTTTTCAATGACAATGACCTTTGCAGAGTATTAGGTTTTGTAAATAACAGACTACAGCCTTCGCTTCAATATAAGGCTATTCGATTCACCTCTGAACAATAGGTTGATATAAATAGGCTTTTTTCGTGCTAAAGACTTATCACGTAACTATACTGTGAACTTTTCATTGACCTATGAATTTTAATGAGTAACTATTCTCCGCCAGTGTTTCATTTGACAAAGCCATTGGCATCACTCGTACAAATATAATCAATCCTCCTAGTACATCCTATTTGTCTAGTTGACGTTTGCACAAGTACGTGTGTGATCAGTTTTGATAATCTTCATCTTTTCATCATACTTTACAAATAATTACACACAACGTAGAACTTCGCAAGTACCTACATCAGTTCAGGTTGCCATACCAAATTGGCACAGAGGTGCAGTTGTCACTTCGAATCCCATAGTAGTAGAGGTAGTTGACCCTCCAGGACTACTGCCAGTCCCAAGTCCGGATTAAGGACGAGAGTCGGGCATGGAGTTGGCGACCCCATCCCATAGAAAACTAACTCGCCAAAAATAGGCTAACAAAAAAAAATAAATTCAAACCATTAAAACTCTGCTCTGGGAGTTAGGAGGTCTCCATTTGGAAGAGTTATGACGTCTTATGATGAAAGCTGAGTTCTTCCGAAATTCTCGAGGCCAATGTCCCTTCTGACAGCCAGAGCCCTCCCACGGTGTGGGGAGCCGGGAAGTAAAATCTACCCTCATACCCGAAAAGGCACACGAGACCATATCGGGGAGAATCAAATCCTTCAACGTAAGTATTCACCGTCCTTTGATTTATTACAGCCATTTACAATCCTAATTCGTTGGAAATGAATTAATCAAAAAGCATTCTTCCATCGAACAAATTATTTTATTATTTTGTGTTGTTAGAGTTGTATTATCCGAAAACCATTAAAATTAAGTTTTTTTTATCCTTCTTTAAAGCTATAAACAATGTTTAAGTCTCGAACTAGGACTGAAACAATTGATAAATACTTCTTGATATCAGATGATATTAATCTGCAATAAAGGAAAATCTGTTTGAAACTATTATATTTAGTCCGATGAACGTCTCAAGCAGCATTCATGGTCGACTTTTAAGTATGTCTATTTTGATATACATAACAGTCTGGCCCTTGTATTCACAAGTTTATCCCATCTCTTATGTTGCCATAGTTCTAAAAACTCCTTCCCATTTTGAAGGTTATTTTTGATACATAACTGTTCTTTTCTTTATCTTTCACACCTGACTTCGTTATTGTCTGACTGTTCGATAATTTCATTCAACATTTAAAATCCTTGTAAACCACGTAACAATTTTCTGATCTAGGAGAGACTACTATATGTTAAATCCTTATCACCCTGGTTAAACAGTTCTAGTGAATTGCATTGTAGAAGGCAAAATACTCTTAACTGAAATATCTTCATATTGAAGACAGTCAGAAATTTAAATATTTGTATCAAAAAATGTATATTTCAATTCAGTAGCGCTGTGTAAATTTTTTTACCATGAAACAGACTACTGATTCTCTGAAATGGTAACATATTAAGTAAATAAACGTCAGAAACTCAGTTTTTCACTAAATGTGGTTAAAATTGTGTTGCTATTGATTATTCAAGCAATCTGATCAGTGCTCACTGTATTTGAAATAATCAAGTCCAATCTCGAAAGTAATCTAGACTCTAGTTGTACAATGAATTTAAAACATGAATCTTCTCTATGTACTATCTATCATTTTTTCAAGGTATTATTGTCCAGTAAAATGAGTAACTAGTGGTAAAAATGTCTGCTTATGTTAAGTGTTTTAAAGTTTTAATTTTGAATTAAAATATATATTATACGAAAAATATAAACTTACTTAACCATCAATGGATTTTGTTTTAACGTCAATAGTATGGGTTCAATACATAGATATAATGTCCAACTAGGCATGCACATTATGAACGAGATTACAATAGCTACACATAAGAGATCAAAAATTATTGATAAAACCTTTAAAATAATTATAATACTGTAAATAATTTAAGACTTCATGAAATAATAATTGCTGACGGTTGGAAAACACTTTTTGATTACCAAAAATAAGTTGGGTTAAACAGTCGAAGATTGATCAGTAAGACAATAAAGCATGAAATAAAGAATGAGACATAGATAGAATTATTTACTTGAGGAGTATGCAACAGGTAATGTGAATCGCTCAACTATTATGGTCGGTTGATAGGTAATTACAAAATCCGTATTATTATTTTGTCAGTTTGCTATCGAATCGCCATATTTGTAATTATGGTGCCAGATTCATCCTAATTGAGGTAGTATGCTTATCTTTTCAGTCGAATTCAACTACTTCACTGAATACTTACCTAAAAACATGAGCTGGAAAACACTGTATCAGCCAGCCATTTATGTTTTTTCAGTGCTGTTCTAGGAAACAGGTTACGTTTCCAGACAAATGATTAAATATTGACTTACTGAATCGTTAAAATATTCTAATTTCGTATATATTTCTACCATTTTGTACAGTTTTTAGAAGAAAAAATAGGCTGAAACTTGCATCAAAGTTTTAACGACAATTAGTAAGTCGATAGTAATTCATCAATTTTTTTTTAAATAATGGGTATCATTGTAACTTACCACGTTGTAAATGAATACCCATTAATCCTTTATTTGAACTGCCAAATATCTAAATAAATAAACATAAATCATAACAAAACTGAGTTCATTGAATATAAACATAATGAAAAATATCATTAAATAATGATAACAAAATTAACTTTGTGATACAAACTGTTTTAAATATGAAGATTTGTTGAAACCAAAATATTGATAAATAGTAGTCTATGTAGTATGTACTTTATGTGTTTATTCATTCAAAATTATAAACGTTTTATTTTTATTTTGATCCTACGCATACAATACATTTATGTTTGTACTATGTTACCAAGTGTCAGTCTTCCATGTTTTTTTCCTTTTACGTACAGGGAATTCATTAAACCTAGTCATAGATAGTTGAGATTATTTTTCTTATCGTTATGTGAATTCTACTGTCAATTATGAACCTTGGTCAAAAATTTCATTTAGTCTATTTAACTTTATGATCAGCAAATGCTTCACGCTTTATTTCAAAATTTTATTCTTCATATACACATATTTTATGCATAAACTAATGAAGTAATTTGAAAGTAACCATTTTAAAAATGTACATTTTGAAAAAGCATTTCACCGAATAAAATTTACCATTGTTCCATGATACTCATCTACCATAGAAATGAAGTTAAATCTAAGACATTCGGGTTGCTAGATAAGGCATACTGTCATCAAATTATTGAAGGCGCATTTAATATTTTATATTCGCACCATTGTCAATAAACTCATAAAATAAGAATATATATTATTTGGTGAACAAGACTTTAAACACAATATGATCATGGTTATTTCTCTATGAATTCCACCTGAAGCCCTTCTAGGGTTGCTGCTGTTACCAAGCTCATAGAAAACAACTCACTAAAAGAAGCGCTAATGAGCACTTACGATTAAACCATGTAAATTTCATCCTGGGAATTAGAAAGTATTCATTTAAAAGAGTTATGACTGCTCACGATTAAAGCCGAGTTTCTTCGGAAGTCACGAGACCGATGCCCCTTCTCACAACCAGACCAACCAATAATATCAAGAAATGGAATATTCGTTCATAGTGGAAGATCGGAAGAACTATTCAAGTTGGTGTGGAAATGAAAAGATACTTAGAATAAGTGAAACACATTGGATGGAAGCTGGAGAGATGCTGTTGTACACCGGCCATAAAGAAGAAAACGCTTCACATACACAAGGATTTGTACTGATGTTTTCTGAAGAGATATGGAAAGCACTTATTAGATGGGAAACGTATGAACCTAGACTCATCAAAGCAAAGAGAGAATTAAAATCAATATCATTCAGTGCTATTCACATACCCACGATAACAATGAGGAAGATAAGAGTCATTTCTATTAGAGGTTGCAGTCAGTTGCCGAGAAATTTCCAACAAAAGACTTGATTATTTTTATGGGAGACAATACTGGATATGAAGACATCATGCGGTGATATGGACTTTATGGGAGGAACGAGAACGGTGAGAGATTCGCGAATATATGTGCCTTCAAAAAAGTGGTTAGAGGAGGCACCATATTCCCATATACTCTCATGCACAAAGTTACATGCTTTTCATCGGATCACACCATACAGAACCAAATCAATCGCACTGCATCAATAGAAAGTTCAGAAGCATTATGGAGGACGTGAAAACCACGAAGGGGGATAATAGATTCAGATAATCACTTGGTATTAGCCAAAATGATAGTGAGACGCAAGAAGCACTGGAAAACTGGGTGAACAGCATCACCAAAGTTTACTATGGCGTTTCTTCGGGGTACTGAAAAACTTAACGAATTCAAGATAGCTCTAAGCAACAAGTTCCAAGCCTTTTACTATCAATGAAGAGGAGACTGCCTTAGAGAAAGAATGAAAAAGGATTTTAAGAGGCAATAACTTCAGCTTGTGATGAGGTCCTAGGCCACAAGAAGCACTACCACAAGGAATCAATCCCTGTGTATACTCTGGATGCGATTGAAGAAACGAAGAACAAGAATGCAGCGATTAACATCAGTCAAGCAAGAGCAGAGACAGCGAAGACACAGACCGAATTCACAGAAGAAAACGAGGAAGTGAAGAGGAGCATCAGAACTGATAAACGAAAAAATATGAAAGATCTAGCAGTTATAGAAGTAAAAGCTGCAAGAGAAAGGGGCATACTATATTACAAATAAGCTCGCTGGAAAACATTAGAAAAGAACGACCAGTGAAGAACAAGGAAGGCAGAGCAGTCACTGACATTCAAGAACAGCGAAACAGGTGAGTAGAGCATTTTGAACACTCTTGAATAGACCAGTTCCACTGAACTCACCCAATTTCGAAACAGTGCCAATGGACCTCCCAACTGATGATGGTCCAACAACTACTAAAGAAATCAGCATGGACATCAGAAAATTCAGGAGTGGCAAACAGGGGGACCAGACAACTTACATAGTGAGGTATCGAAAGCAGTAATCGTAAGGATGTTCCACTCTCCCTTCAGCAAGATATCTAAAAACCATCCAAATTTTTCTTCTTGGGACCTAATTTTTAACACTGGAAAATTTTAGCAAGTTCTTTCTGGTTTAGCTATTGTTGTAAGAACAAAAGAGTTCTGTACATTATTTAAGCTTGATAAACAAATTTATTTGTTATATCGATTTTAGTATCGTTGATACATTTAACTAAAGTTTCTACATATTATAGATCAATCTTCAATGATTATATCAATAGTATTTAGTACACTAAAAGTCTAAATTAATTGAATTCTGCCTTTAGTAACTAATTTTGACTAACATGTCTAGTGAAATTCTTACATTTCAAAGTTGATTAACTGAAACTGTTTTATTCACATTGTGATAAAAGTAGTGATATTTAACGTAGATGGTAGACTTTTTTAATGTCAGGCAATAATTATATGCACAATGTCACGCTTTCTTGACTTTTTTTACTACGTTCCATTGTAAGTTTGCTTCCTCAGTGTTTACACTTGAAATAAAATAAGTTCTAATATACTGACTAAAATCAAAGTTTATACCAGAGTAGAAGGAATAAACCCATTGAGATATAAAATGTAGGAGAGATCTCATTGAAGTCATGAACTGATTCATTGTAGATCACCACTGGAAACCTGAAGGCCCCGAACAGCCGTTTCGCCGTAGTATGGGAATCATCAACAGTGCACACACCACTGTGGAAGCAGAAATCGGACCCGAAACCTCAATCGGTCAACGTTTCAGCTGGTGGTCGAACATTAATCGATTCATGATTTTAATGGAACTCAACTTTCTCCAGCACCATATACTGACAGTTGTGATGTACCAGCTGAGTTCAACAGTATTGGGTGTGAGAGAGTTACCAACCGAAAACAATCGATGGTGTCACACAAAATCGTGGACTGATTAAAGTTAGACATTAACACTTGCATTACAAACGAAAAGTAAATAACACTGACTTGTCAGTTAACGTTTAGGGCAAGACAATTTGACATACGAAATTCACAAGTGACTCTGAAAATGTGAGCCTACAAGCATATAGGTTACAATTTGACCAGCCATCATACATCAAAATGACTATTGTGCTCAGTAAACTAACCAAATAAAGCAATCGTATAGGTTCAGTGTAACCTCAAATCAGGTGCTAAGTATCTTCAATATATTTCGATAAATTATTCAACATCGTTTGTTGAAAAATCTAATACTAAACCAGTGCTTGACACACATCAAATTCTTAAAAACTATTTCAAGCTGATGAATAATTTATGATTGTTCAATAATTTTGTTAGATTATTTCAAACTTATCTCGTCATTGTTTTTTGCAGATTATTTTATAAACAATTAGGTCTCTAGTGTGTCAAGATGCAATTGATTTTAAATTGACAGTTGAATTCGATAATCAGTTTTAGATCTTCCTGTGTATTTTGTCGAATGTATTTGCTTATACATCAAAGGAGAATGTGATCATTTTTTAGTTTAGTTTATTCTTTCAAATAAGGACATTGATCAATAAAGTTAACAAGATCAAATTCACCTGTGAAAATAAGGTATCAACAGCTGTTAATAGACCAGTTATAACTGCTAAGCCAGCGACATTGAATATGGAATTGGCTAAACCAACAGTAGCAAGTGCAGTTTTTCCAAGTTTGCCACAGAATATCAGACCCATAGGACCAGATAAAAAGGCCACCAAAGATGTCATAGTCTTCAAAAAATCAATTAGATCATAAATATAATCACATAAAATTATTTTCATAAATATAACTACCTAAAAATGTGAACATTGCCGATAGATAATTGGTTACTGCGATTTATAATTTCAGACAATAAATTTTTAATCAGGTGTAAATAATTTTTGAAATATCCTAGTTCTTCATTACCATGATTTGATTTAGTTTCAAACTGCACATTCACTTCTCAACGTCCATTGCATGTGTGCATTCTGTACAATAAATCAACTAATGGAGATCATTAGAAATTTCAAGCTACATTTATTTTATTCAAAATACTCCTCATTTTCAGCAGCAAGTCTCATGTTCGTTTCTTTTATTCAAAAAATGCGTAGAAGTTCGTAAAATTAAGTTCTTTCCGGTATTTATCTTTTCATTTTTAGTTGATCCAACATGGATGTTTTATAATTTCAGTACAAAAAATTATCACACATGGCAAAGATTAATAAACGAGAAGAATAATCTCACATAGTAATTGAATGACAGGCCAGATATTGGTGGCAAATACATACTAAAAATAATAACACTGAAAAGTTAAAATCTGTGTTTTAGATTTGAATTTTCCTTGGACATAATAATTTTTTAGTGATATTCACAATGTTCAATTTTTCGAAACTTTTATTTTGATTCCTTTTCCAAAAAATCATCATATTAATTAATAGCTATAATTATTCACATTATTTCTTTTAAACTAAAAATAAACAATATTGTTTTTAATATCATGACAACAAAGGCCAACTTTTGGGATGAACGTTTCGAAATCGTAATCAATATTTTAATATCTCACAGGAAGTCATATAACAAATTAATCCTATTTATGTACGTGTAGTAGCTATCATAAGTACAATTCGATACAACAGATTAAATTAATTGATTACTGAAAAGACTAATGCTTGATCACGTAATAACTTCGTTTCATTCGGTTGATGTACTACATTCGACTTGTTGTCTCTAACAGAAATATTTGACTTTAAGATGGTGAAACATGAGAATAATGCTTCAAAATCAGTGTTTCCGTGAGTGACATCAACTTTTACGGATTTTCCAAAGCTTTATCCTGCATCGACCAGGTAGATTCAGTTAAGAGAATGGAGATTTTATAGTTTTCAAGCATATGAAGAGATTTAATAGCATTCTTTGGCTTTGACAAATTTATCGAATGTTCAACTGGTTTTCTTCGTTATATTACAAAGCAGGAGTTATTCTTAGTATACCGGTGAAAATATTTTGTTATACTTATCACTAAATGAATTACATTACTGTCGAGTAAAACAGTTTTCAAAGTTGAAAGCTACACATGATCAGGTTAATATGTTACAGTTTTAGTTTATTACATGTATCTTCTCATCGGCTGAATTTTTTCCATAAATCTCACTGTTTCTCGTCATTAAAACCACACACAAATTTCAACATTGTATATCTTCCAATTAGTCGGTAATGAAAAATGAAAAGTGAATTGTTTTATTTGTTTTCCGAATATTCTCTACTTGATGAATACAATCTATCGAATAGATTTTTTATTAGTTGATAATCCTTGTTAGTGGTTGAATATTGTTTTATAATTAAAGTTGATTTCTAATTTACATAAATACTGGGGTTACAATGCTCAACGTTTGAACTATTCAAAATATTGTTTCAAAGAATATTCCATTATTTCAGAAGCTGATATAGTGATTATTCAGTCAGTCAGTTAGTCTTTAACCGTATGGGATCAAACACATTGAAAGGATGATTATATAAATCATCAGAAAATACTAAACAGAGAAAATAATGTTTTTAAGACGAGGGGAATCGAAGAATAGCAATTCTTATTATATTCTCTACAACTGCAGCTGAATGATCAGTGTTATGAATTCTATAAAAAGAAGTTTGACGAATATAACAGTGTTTTTAGGACTTTTTAGTAAATGATGCAAATCTGTTTACTTTTTCTAAAGGTTCTCGAAATCTATAATGAAAAAAATTTGTCCACTAACAAGTTTATTTATTAAGAACATATATTTGCACTGCCTATAATTGTTCAAATATATTAAGTGAACAAAGTGAATGTTTTTTATTAGCATAAATAACCGCTCTGAACTTCGCATTTACGTAATTTTAGATGATATTACTGAATTAAAAGTATTTTGCTAAGTACTAAAAATAGAATTATTTATTTTATTCCACTTAATAATAATAATAATAATAATAATAAGACTGCAACCAACATTACGAAGATTTTTAATGACCCTCTAATCATTAGGGAAGATAAACCGTATTATCTTGTTATATAATTTTTATTTCTTTGTACACTGAACTATGTATATTGTGAACTATTTTCAGATAGTTCTTCTTGGGACATTCGAATATTGTATGAAAAAGACATTAAATATTTGATGTATTTATTTGTCATTATTATTTCTGTTATATTTAAAGAGAATCACATCTTGGACAATGTGATCATATGTATATAAGTGGAAGAAGATTTATTGGGAAATACAAGGTCAACTAGATAAATTAAAAGTTAGTAGAAAAACAAAGATAAAAAATTCTACATAAATCATATCAAATAGAATAATAAATTAACATTACCGAAATAGGTTAAAAGTATAAATAAACAGTTTTCCAGTAAACAAAGGCAGTTTGTATGTTTGTATTGTTAAGGCTTCAATAAATCCTACTATACTCTCCTGCAGGCAGTTATACAACACTACAACGGTTGATCGGATATCAATCCTACGACCCATCCCTACCCATACTCTCACAATGAAAGATTATGAAAGGATGGAAAGAATTTGATCAGTATTTGTGTGATCAGATTATTTAGAATGCATTACTCTATTAGATCGCACAGTTTCAAAAAAGTTTGTTTGCTGATTGCGTTATCTAGATTGCTCTGTGGCTGAAAATTTAAATCATTATAATATCTTCATTCATGGCGATTCAAAAGGGATAGAACAGTAGTGAAAATACCAAATTACTAATCGATTTTGTGAAATTCGGAACAATCTTTTCAATATCTTTGTTTTTCTACTGTTTTTCAATTTGTATGTTTGACCTAGAATTTTCCAATGAAAATCTTACAGTTATAGATATGATCACATTGTTTAAGATGTATTTGCCTTATATATAACATATGGTTTCAATAAACGGTGTCATCTCATTTTATCAAATAAATTTACAACAGTTGTTCACGGTTCGAAATATCAAAATAGTTTCAAATGGACTAATTACTTTACCGTTACAAAGTTACTTCATTTACATCAACTGTATCACCACATTCCACAAGTAAGATTATATAAACGCTAAACATTTATTCGTATTGTTACTTTGCCTACTAATGAAACCTCAATGCTTACATATATTGAACGTTAAGACTCTCCTCTATAGATATAAATAATTTGAGTAATATCTAACACAAACATTAAGACATAAAATCATCTTGTACCTAAATCAAGTTAGGTATGATAGAGCAGATAGATTTATCTTAGCAATTATTGCTTTCGTTATTTTGTTCTCTCTGTTTTCGCTTTATTTTATCTAGCTGTAGATGACTTTAACCAATGCTTTATGGTACTGTGTATGGTACTGTTCATACCGCAACAAGGTTTCTAGTTTAAAAAAATTAATAGCCTTGCATTACTGTCATATATGTGAAGAATGTATCTCGTAAACAATTTTCGAACTAGACCACTTCAAACAGTATAACATGAAACATCTGTCCCCTACATTAAACATTTACTTCTACTTCAAGTTGACCATGCCTGTAAACTGGCATGAATTCTGTAATTATTACTTTCAGGATATTTTATCATTATTATTATTAATCTTATTATTTAATTTGTCTTTATTTACCGAATTCTACAACATAGCAAAACTGACATTAAGTAACAGTTAATTTTATAAAATGTTACATCTGCCCATATATACTGTCCATAGAAACTTCTCTCCGATCTGGCCGAACTTATTTTTGTATCATCCTGACTCAGTGGTTTTATAATACAACTTCATGGACTGTTTATAAACTGAAATAACTTCTATCGATGTCAACTTCAGCTGATAAACTTTGTAAATTGTATATAAAAATTATATATTGTTCTTAAATATATTGTGTTTTAATTATTGAATTTTTACATTAAAGTCAACCTCGTATTTTCTTTTTAAAATATCAAAACATATGTGTTGAATGCAACTTAACTATTCACAAAATGTGTCATTAGTAGTACACTGAATTTTAAAAAAATATAATAAGTATTATTATTTGTATAGTAAAATCAAATTAATAAAATATTAGGAATGCAATAAATAAAACAACTAAGTTATTGTGATAAGAAATAACTATAATTTCATTTAGACTTGAGTAGTTTGGAATCTGGAATACAGTCAACTGTAATCAGTCTTTAAATGTACAACCTAAAATTTTTAACAAAAGAATATCATTAAATGATCAGGTGGGTTTCCCAAACGATTGTCCCTTTTTTGTAATTGTAATTAGCATAGAACATCTTAAGAGTTCTTAAAAGAATCAGTGAATATTTTTTTAACATGAAAACTAAGTATCACAGTTAGTATTTAAACTATTTTATTGAATAAGAGATACAATATACGGAGATATCATTTAAGAAAACAAACAAACGGCACTGTGCATAATGTTCTTTATAGATTTCAGAATGTATTGCTAGTACGGGTATGAAAACTAAGTTTGCGATTTCAAAAGGCCGCAGCTGTTTCGATTCAGAATTTACTGTATGAAAACATCATTTTCTATATATCATTTGATTTTTTATACACTATCCTAAATGTTTACTTGGTATTGTAGGTCACATAATCAAATAATCCGTCAATGTTTGCCTGTACGAACAAATTTTACTAGTCATAAATATTTTAAAATTTATAAGCTCAATATTACAAATACATCAATTGGTATATTTAATTTTGGTTAAAAGTTTGTTCAGTAAATGTACTCTTCGAAATATATTCTACCGTTTCCGATAGTATTTAATATAGATATCATCAAATTTGTAGAAACTTCTGGATTATACGATTACTATAGTGAAACATATCAAGAACAGCATGAAGTGGTTGGTGGAGATTACCTTAACTTAAGGATATTTTCTAATGTTAAATGAAGATACCTCAATAACTTGATAGTTACTATGTGTTTACTTGACATTTCTTGAGATTGAGCACTAATGATCCTGTGTCAGAGAAGTTCTAGAGCTAAATGTTTTGCATTATCTTTCACTAGTTATTGCAGAAACTACTTCAACTGGTTAAAATTTCATTGTAGTTAAATAAATCATATTTGAGTAGTATTGAGGCATTAAAGCATTGACGGAAATGCTTTGGAGGACGTAACAACTCTTACATATTTCGGCAGCATCATTGACAATCAAGGTGGATCTTATGAAGATGCGGAGGCTCGGATCGGCAAAGCAAGGGCTGCATTTCTACAACTGAACAACATCCAGAACTTCAAACAATTATCAACAAACACCAAAGTCAGAATTCTCTATACAGTTGTCAAGACGGTTCTAATGTATGAGGTGGAAACTTCGAGATCTACCAACACCATCATCCAGAAGATACGAGTATTCATTGACAGCTGTCTACAAGAAATACTTCGAATCTATTAGCCAAAAACCATCAGCACCCAACTGCGTCACAAGACAAGCCCTCATTTGGAACCTTGAGGTCAGAGGGAATGAAGACCAAGGAACACATTACGCCGAGAAACGGAGACAGACATGAGAAGAATGGATAAAAATGGGGCAGAACTGAAAAGGGAAGCTCAGGACAGTGTAGGATGGTGAACAGTGGCCGGAGGCCTATGCTCCATTGGGGGTATCAGGCGTAAGTAAGTAAGAGGAATTAGAAAGGAAAGAGCAATATTCATGGTCAACCAACATGCCTGCTGCACATGCACATCGCTGCGTTGATATACAGCACAAGGATTCTCACTGATGCCATCAGTAATCACCCCTGCCACTTTCGGGTACATACATGTTGTCCGGTTTGGTCTACAGACATATCGGACATCCAAAAAGCGCGCACACGAGCAGTGGCCCCTGCACAGGCACTTATGAATCAAGAGATCCCACCAACCAAACCACAGCCCACAATCCCCAATCGGCGAGGGCGGCAAGGCGGGCTTATCCTTCCGGACAAGGCACCCCGTAGCAGGTTGCCGAGCCACCCAAGCAGTGCACTAACCAGCAGCCATTCCAACCGTCTGGCCTCCAACTGCCTTGCGTTGATACAATCGATCGAGGCCCATCTTACCCTGCATTAAGCTAAAGATCGAGTTTGTCCCACAAGGTCAGCTAGAACGTACACCCTTCCATGAGGAAGATGTCATGAACTCGACCAAACGCAAGCGCTCAGTCAAGCAGGGCTCATCCCACAGAAGTGGGCAGACATCATTGGTGTTCAATGCCTTTTACAGCACTAAAGCACCGGAACCCAACTTGAGACCCTTGTTTAAGGGGCCTCGACGCCAGTTCACACACAACATCGAGTGAAGCATGTAAGGGACAACCACATAGGGTCGGCGTCAGTAGTACAGGATGTCTGCGGCTGCATCCCCGGACATAGGGTCCAGGGCCGCCCTCGATCATCCTACTACATCCCCTTCAGGAGTTCACCTACGCTTAGGGACGGGATTCGGACCTAGAGTCGTTCAGTCTTAATCCCCCAGATTGGTCAGACGCATCCACAGCCTTGCGACCATGAGCGTGCCAATTATCCGGACCATGGAAAGCACGGAATCCCCAGCGATCAGTACGACTTTTAGCCGCAGCGATGTTGCCACCACCACGTTGCCTCGCGGGACCACGAAGAGGTAGTCGCCACCACAACCCCCTAAAGGCAGCACATTGCCTAACCCGAGGCAAGCTCAGGCAGCTCGGCAATCCGCCCCTCATATGACTAGGCATTTGGCTACCTTAGGAGAGTCATTGTTACTCCCTCCAAAAGAGCAATTGGGTTAATACATTATAATCCTGAATAAATTTAGCTATTTGTGTGTTTATCGACTGAGTTGTTTCACTAATTATTTTACAATTATTTATTGTCATTATAAAAATTACTTTTTATTAGATTTGCATTTTAATGCTTAAACATTTAGAATAACTTGTTAAATTGGATTGCAGGAATGTAATACTACAACTCGATCGGTATTACCTTTTAATTGTTAAATATTTGTATTATTTTTAAGCCATAATGAAAAAAGGTAGTTAAAAAGAAATATTCACCAACACTATTCGCTTTTTATTAACTTTATTCAGCTACATAACCGACATGTATGTGTTTTATGGGATCTATTCCATTCTGTCAAGATTAAATCGTTTCGTATAGAAAACATTTTAACCATCGAAAAGATAAACTTTGAACTTTGTATATAGCGTCAATATATTACATCTTTGTGTTTCTCTTGGTCTTTGTAGATTATTATTATTATTCATTTCAAATAATTTTTCATCTTCCTTCATTATTTCTCATAGTTGTTGTCAATTTCCTTTCGCATAGGGATCTGATACTTTCAGTTATTAATATCAGGAACCAATGATATCAACAATTCAGTTTATTTCATTAAATAATATTTGAACAAAATATTTTCTATTATATCAATAAACTCTTTTCGTTGTCACTCTATGTTACAATGTTAAAACTGAGTTATAATCGAAACCAACCAATCACTAAACTTTTTCAAGTAGGTCTGTAATTCTATGTAGTGTAATTTATGAACCGATCAACTATATATTCAAAATGCTATTTCGTCACTTCCAACTTTATTACATATTTGATTTTCAAAACGATTCCTTTGTTGTTTTATATTAACTTAACTAAGAGATGTATGAATATACGTAGTTATTATTTACTAGAAAGTAAATGCTGAAATTGTATTTAAAACATAATAATGAAAATAGAGAAATAGCTGATATTTAAAAAGTAAATAGTTTTAAACTTACAATTGGTATAGCCAGTTGAACAAGTTTTTTAAATTCATAATAGAATCCGAATGGGAAAAATTTTCCCAATAGACCAGTATGAACAATTTCTGGCACTTCAATTCCACTACAAGTAATTGTGATTTCATCGTTTTGAACTGTAAAAATATTGAAAATGTAGGTAAGCAGATAGTATGTCGCCATTAATTTTTATTTTTACTAAAATTATGAGTTTGTTTATCTAAATTATATGATTAATTTCATGCTTGTATTCAAAATTCGATAGAAATTGTCATCTGATTTTAGCAAAACTTTGATATAAATTAACTGTGAATGGACATTTATTTAATTTTTTTCTTCAGTAAATTATTTGTGAATCTATTTTCAGTTACTGCGTTGAACAACCTAGTATTTGTAGCTGTCAGACTGTTATAATTTCATGAGGTAAGTTCATCTTTTATGTACAAATGAAGACTAAGTATTCGAAATTGTATAACTTGTATATTATTATTGATTTTGCTACTAAAATGTATATCAGTTGTTATTTTGTTTGAAGCAAATATTTCATATCTCTTGGTGTAAAACTTTTTGTCTAAATTTGAGCGAGTAGTTTCGTAACAGTTGAAGACCGAATTAATGTACGGCATAAAAAAGGGAAAATTATATTTCTGAAGATTTCAGCGACTGCTGATCTCCCATTTCTCTTTTTGAGTTCTTTAAAGAGCGAGAAGGAATTCCACTTGAAGGTTTTTGTTGCTATACTTCATTCGGTTTTGTGATACACCCATCTGCCTGTCATCTTTTATCGCTCCCTCTTATATCCTTAATAACTTTACAGTTTTGAGGGGAACCATTAAGATAAGCAAACGTTTTATCAATAGATCTTTGGGTTCTGTCATGAATATGGTTTCAGATTAACTTTGAAAGTCTGATATTCAAATGTGCAGTATTATTTTTATCAAACAAAAGTCATCCACTTTGCCCACAATTTCCTTATCATGCAGCCAAAGGCTACAAGTATGTAGAACACCTCCTGGCACTTATATTATCTGGTGAAAATGTCTACATTACCGTCAATCTACACTGTAATGACATTGTATATCTCAAATTTTTATAACGTTTACAGTAAAAAGTAAGGTTACATAAATTTCTTGAAATTTTTTATATTTTCTATTTTATTCAAACAAACGTTACTAGAGAAATTGATTTCTGTTACTTGTATTACAACTACACCTGAGAGTGATCTGAAGCTGTAATAGCCAAAAATAAACATCCACTTTTTCTGTTACGTCAATAATTGCTTTTTGAATAAAAATAATTAGTCAGTCGAAAAATATTTGCTTGAATTGACTTCGGTTAATTAATATCTCCTATCTTTTATGTAAATTATAGACAAATATTAGACCAGGACCGTCTTGAATTCTTTTCTGAGGCACATTTAATGATGTTTTAAGACAGTGAATAGCACTACTTCGTGAACTCCAATCAGGGAGTCGTTGTGGGTCAACAAATGAAAGTCCTATGCATCCCTCTTCAAGCCACAGCCCTATATCATTAACTAATGAAGAAGGCCAATTCTAGATCCACACATGGTTTCAGAAAACCTGACTCAGATTCCATGTTCAATGGCAATATTCATAGTTTCAACTAGACAACTTGAGATCGTCTGGACAGGACAGAATTTTCATCACAGACGAGGTACTGAGTGAGTTAAAGAGTGGAAGAAATTAAAAAATAGAAACAAAGAGGAATAAACAAGTGATACAATACAGAGTGAGAATGAATGTAATCCAATTATTCTGAATACATTTTAGGAGAATATGGAGGGCAAGATTAGTTTTTTCATTTATGGCCATTATCGAATTTGTGTGTGAACTAGGGTACCACCAATAGGCCCGGATTAAAGCAGGCAATTTTTTTAAAGGAGCGTTCTTCTGGAAAACTAATCCACAGATCAAGAAAACGATGTTAGGATGGTATAATCCAATTGTAGCTGGCGACCAAAGATATGTTGATGCATCATCTGATCCATCAGGGTTCAGGAGCCAATGTACACCAATGGTTTGAAATAAAATTTGGTAGATCTTTCAGTTAAAGTTTCCGATCTTTCTTTACATTCTCCGACGAATAACAGCTCCATCACGAAAAGACAGTGTGTCCACAAACGTGAGGTCATGTGAGAGCATTTCAAAAAGGAGTGCAGACTCCTCCACTTTTGACCGAATCAGGGTATTGTTACGAAGGGGAAATACAGAGATGTTTTTATTGTTTATTGTGTGAAATACATTTATTATTTTAAAAAATAATATGTGCTATTTACTTATCACATTACCGATCGATGTAAAGAATTTTAAACTGGTTGTAATCAGTTAGAATAATAATGTTTCATGCTGGGATCTAATTACCATCCCGACGATCTTGAACAGACTACTGACAGGGAATACATTTGTTCTTTAAGTACATAAAACAATTAATCTTGAGGGCTGTTCACTTTATTCTCCGTTTATTTTAGTGAAGACAGGAGTTTGAGTTACTTACATAGCTTTCAGAAAAGTTTAAGATTATGCTTTTGTACTTGATTTTTTTCGAGATAATTCCTAAACTTCATAAATCACTTATCCTGATATCGTTTATTCAACACCCCCCAATGGTGCGAAAATTTCAGAAGACAATACGAAGCGTTTTTAACAGTTTATCATCGTATAGTGCAGATCAAAGCAACAGGCACACTGACCGAATACAGACAGATTCGCAAATGCGGAAGAATACGAGCGAATGCGGAGATTGAATCAATAAGATTTAATAAGGCATACATATATAGGAAAGTGAATGAGTCTTGAGTGATTTAAGCAACTAAAATTTAGGCTAGTAAGAGGGAAATGTTTGAAGGCCTTAACACTGCTTTAATATTTCATTCATATATTCAGTTTATTATTAAAAACATAATAAAATCAAAAGAATGAGCTCTTTTTAGAAAAAATGTTAAACTGAGCAGGTAGTCTCATTGTCCTGAGGTTGCACATGACTGAGAAGTTGTTATCTAGTCTTTCTTATGAATCATGATAAACATTGGTGCTCAGATTGTATTTGGTCGTTATGTGAAATACTTGTGTTAGTGCCCTTGAACAAATCAAATTTATCTTAAAACTGAGTATCGTCAAAAAAAATGAATATCAATAAAACTGGTTATAGTTAAAATTATTCATCATATATTACTTACTTTCATGATCCTCCAATTCGTCACAAGCCGAGTTCATGGGTGCATATACAGAGGTTACATTGAGATATTTCTTTTTGTTTCGTTGCTTTTGAATGCTTTCAAAATATTTATTCACATTGGTAATGTCCCCAACACGTCTACTACTAAAATCGTCTACCCCATTATTTTCATTATAATTTTGATTCATACTGTCATTTTCTAACAAAACACATTCTTCTGATTGGGAACCTGAATATGAAATAGACATTGTCTAATCGAAATCAATTCACTATTGGGTAATGACACGTGCACAAACGTCTTTATTAGCTTGTATATTCTTGTGTATGTGGGTATGTTTATGTTAGTTTGTAGTTTATATATGCAGGCAAATATTATTTTTTAACCTACTTTTCGCTGACAGATATTTTCTGAAGAGATATTTATTGTTGAAGCATAAATTTTGGAAATTTCTCTGAAGTTCTTTCTAATTTTGCTCAGTAATGTTTTCTTCCATATTAAATCACAAATATACTTGATTACGTGTAGTTGTTATTCTTATCTTACGTAGTAATATAAATGTACATTCAGTTTAACTAAAATTGAAGCTTAAAACGTGTGTATTTATCCAGTAATCTAAAATAAATTTAATCAATTAGCATTATCATAGTCTGTGACTTAATTATGATGAAATGTTGTTGACCTTTTTTAGAAAACTAAGTTTGACAATAAGTTACACATGTATTTAGTAAACATTAAAAATGATAGAGAACTTGAGGGACCCTTAAAATGACCATGAAAAATTCTTGAACTTGTTCAGCCAATCGAGAAACAGCGAATACAAATGAATGATTTATAGTGGACAATGATAAAATTCACAATGAACTGTAAACTTTTCGACATTGTGTATATGTGCTTCTGTCTTGAATTTAAAGAGCATTCAATAAGGCTCTTGGCTGGGGCAGTAATTCGGATAAAAGTAATCAATTATTTTTACCTACTTGGTATCTGTTGATTAGTTGGATAGATGAAATATCTTGTTAGATTATTAAATATTTGTTTATTTACAGTCAGTTCGATACTTTAAAGCAAAACTAGATTCATTCGGTATAGAGAACTGGATATATTCATATATATATATATATACTGAATTATTGAAAAAGTGTTGGACACCTGTAGTAAGCTACCGTTGGGTAGCGAATTTGAATTATTACAGTAAAATACATTTTATTGGCCCACGATTTGTCTCCAGTTTGGGAGAATGATCGAGAATGCGATGAAATAAATCTTCCTTTGCATTTACGTACATCTAACTTGAACAAACCCCGTCTGTGCGACGGTGGTAATGAAATGAATTCATTCCATGCATTCATTTAAGCAGACAGACATGAGAAGGAGAAGCATACAAACAAAGCGAAACAAATCGAATAAGGTCAGTGAGCCAACTACATGCGCTGATGCATGACTAAGTATTTATAGTCAGGCAGTAATAGGCTAGACATGCAAAAGCCTGTAAGCATGCACACGCACACATTAAAATCTACATTAGTCGATACTGTTTCGAATTGTTACACATATAAAAAATGGTCGATACTATTATGGGATAATTTAAACGACTAGTCATTAAAGCTAATGGAATGAATAAATGATGGGGTTCTATAACATTAAAATTTATATCCGATTAATTTCGGTGCTTTATTAAAAAATTTCATAAAAAGAAACTGACATTTACATGATAATCAATAGTTGAAACAGCATCAATGGATATATGCTTTGGACCATGCTTTGAATACGTTTTCTCCCATAATACTTTGCGAAACACATTCTAAGAGATTCGCTAAAATGATACCATCTAACATTTAAAAATACTGGATGATTAGCAGAAAGTTCCTCACACTGAAGACAGCATTTACCCGTTGAGTGCCTCATGTTTTAAAAATACTACTTAAAAAGCTTAAATGAATTTCAAAAACGGTGGAGTTTATAGTATAAATCAGTAAATAAAGTGAAGCACACTAGCAACGATTGTAATGTACTCACAACAAACTAAACTAAATCTATTACATTTAGAATCCTTATACAATAATATTCATAAAAACTGTTAATATTTGCTGCTCCGATTTCAGTAAACTAAGCACATTTATAAAATCATTGTCGATTTTGCGCAAATTAATATGAACATCTCATACCTAAGTAGCGCTGGACTTATAGATAATCGCATCATAAACAGTAATTAGCTGGAAAATAATTTTTTTTCAATATACTAGTCATCAACATCAACATACGATGATGAATGTGAATTATCACACTGAACATTATTACTGTGATTCTGGCTGATAAGTTCCAGATAAGAAAAAATTGTGTGTGATTGAATTCACTCCTAGCTATGGTCCGAATATACCAAAAACTTTTAACTAAAAGACAATGTCAAACATTCATTTGTGGTTTACAAATGCTGCTAGAAATCAATCGATATTAGTCCATGTTATCGACAACAGTTATACGAATGAACTCTACAAACTTAAACATTTTGCTTGACTGTTCTAAGCTCATGTTTTGCTTATTTAATTTACCATATTTGAAATAAACGAAATCATCAGAATGTCAAACTTTCATTCAAGCATTAAACCCCATTCTCGTCAACATTATTATTAGCTTTACATACTAGGGTTGATTGGTTTCCGTTTATTTTCACTCAAATCTTCAACCAAAATCATACAACAAACGTTCATGTGTTCTTATTATATCATTTCGTATTAATCTTTCAAGTCTATTGTTTAAATCAAATGGGAATCAACCACTTATTATCCGATTTCTGAGTGAAATATTCAAGATACAATAAAAACTTAAATTTCTCAGTCATACATATAATATATAATAGATAATATTTTTTTAAATAGTGATTTAATCCTTGTTGCGTTTTTTAAAGAGATTAACAGAAGATAGTACCTGATATGGTTTTAAATGAATTAAATGTTTATAATTATCTAATTATTTCCATGACTTATGTCATTCTCTACTAAAGTGGCATAATACTCAGTTTGTTTCGCTTTGTACATCTCTATGGTTAATAACATTTTTCAAATATTATAAAAGTGAAAATCTTTGTAAAAAACCTCTTGATGAGTGTGCAATTCATAGAAGTGAGTTGTACAATTAGTCAAATGGTAGGATTATGCTGAACATTCAACTGTATATGGAATATAGCATCTACGATAATTATGTTGGTGTTGGAAAGAAATTTTCACTTTTCATTGCATGTCAACCGAAACATCGAAAAAGCTGCCCATTAAAAGCAATACGTGTATTAGTTTAATGCCAGTTTTTTAAATATCTATTCAGTTGTATATTTAAATGTATTTCAATTCACATTGAGAATAGTTTTCGCATTCATCTTGACAACATCTTGACGTTTGACCATTGCGTGACAAATTCAAGCTGTTTCAGAAGAAAAATTTAAGATAAACAATTATATCTAAATGGGTGGCATATCGCAGAGGCGAGCCCGGAAAAAGCCCTTAAACCTTGAATAATAACAATCCTATTATCATAATATGGCTTGTGTATCAACTTCTTTTGCAACCGACAAGGTTATGACTGTACTTACGCTACATATGATGCATAGTGACTCGGAATTGAATGGTCTTACGACTTGCACATCAAGATGTACTAACATCGATGATATAAAGCATGAACTTGACAGTATGTATTAGCTAATAAGCAAAATGCGTTCCAATGTGGACTGGCTTGCAAGTTTCACATCAATACATGATGATCTTAAGCAAGAAATAAAGGCTCTGTTACCTCCTAAGCTACTTTTTATGAGTAGGTGACTCTCGATGATATTGAAGACACGATTAAAGTAGCATCGGTTGTCGGTTTCATTTCTCGGGAAGTTACTAAGCAACAAATCTCTAGAAATAAAGTATTTATCTGTAAGACGCCGCGCAAAATCCTTCTTAAATCACTGATGCAATCCATACTGAATGCCTCTAACCTTGAGGATAGTGCATATCACTGTATTCGTCTCAATAAAATAAATCTAAAGCTCTCGTGCTCAATCTTGCTTAAATTTAACTTTCGTTTTGAAGCTGCAAAACTGAAGGAATCTAAACGATCGGTATACGTTATCACCAAGGTCTCGAATGCCTGTATAGTTTCAACTAAAACCACCGATCACCGACTTAGTCAAAAGCGCACCTAAAACGATAATGATGCTCTAGAAAATGCCACGGATATTGTTGACTCATAAACAGGACTCACGCGTGCGACTAATACTTCGCCTGCCAACCAGCACTACAATTTATCTACGACAAACATTAACGCACCTCAAACTTTCCATTAGGCAGTTGAAACCTTATATAACCAATGTACACTAAATACCTTCTTAGATCTTATACCATCTGACTTGAAATCATTCAGTCGTAAATTAAGAACTTTACGAAACACTGTTAAAATAAAAACCATGCGTGAATAAAGTTTATATAGTGTCTGGTTCCGAAACCATTACCAAAATGTAAAGGCAAAATCAAACAAAAATAGATTCTGAAATACCAGGTTTGACCATCCTAACCACAACGGGGAAGTTTGATGGGAACACAGACAAGAACTGGTCGATTCACCATTTCATCATCCCAGCTAAACCTACCGACTTGTTAAAACCCCACTTTCGAAATCAACAAATTAGACTTTATCCAACTGATGTTCTAGATGCCTACTACAGCCTTAATGCAAGCGGACCTATTATACAGATTGAAAGAAACCAATATGTCCCATGGTTGAACCCAAAATTTTTATTTACGGAATCTGGAAGATATAAGTATGCTCATTACTTCCCCAATAGACACGATGAACTACTAGGTTACGCACCACACATACACTCAACCCCAGTAAGCAGTTGACTTTCCTCACTGTTTGCTTTATGAATTTCAGCAAATTAGTTTACTTTACCGTAATAATGAATTTTTTAGTTCACAGATGCCTCAAGGCCCACTTTCCCTACAGCTTATTCAAGCCATAGCCTTTACGATCAAATGCCCAAATCAGACCATAGTCTAATCACCACTAACATCGGTTTTTTACACTTCATAATTCTTTTTCAAACTTGTTACTTATTCATGTTTGTTCACTCCCAAATAAAATTTAGGCCTTAAGAACTTTATCTTTACTAGCCAAACCTTTCTTCACGTTTGTCACTGATACATGGTGCTTTCCTACAGTCCCCGATTTACAATCAAATATTCTGAACGAAAAACTATCGCTGTACTGAGAAACCAAACGTAGGAGTGAATGCCCAACAAACAATGAACTTGGAGATAGTGTCTTAATTAGTTTACCTGGATCAGTATGGTTATCAATCAACACTCCGAATCATATTGTACCTGTGGGATAAATTGATAGAGAACCTGAAACTCAAGCTCATGTGAATGGTCTTATTATCAAGTACAGCTACTATTTGTCCTCAAAATAGGAATCCATACAGACATGCAAATCTCAACCTCTCATGGGTTGGATAATTCGTAACCTTTATAAGAACACATCATGTATTTTATTGTACAAACTATGTGTTTGACCCCTTATAAAATAATATACGTTTGTTCTAAGTGGTGTTCTCATAAATGATAATTTAAGGCTGGAATCCGTCCTGGGACGATTTACACTACGCATTGTTGGAAATAACTTTACCTTAAATTATAAATTGAGATATAAAAGCTTGGACAAGGGCACTTAAACTAAATCTGATTTTCCCTTCAAAATACTCGGTTTGTATCCAATGAAGCAATTAAATGTGGAGAAACTCCTAGTTATAGCTTCCATGACTTTTTGCCATTAGTGACAAAATCTGATTTTAAATATTTCCCTTGTATGAATTATTTTACCAGTTAATTTTCCAGACCATGGAATGATTTGCTGCAATCTATCTGTGAAATAAAATCACCGCCATCCTTTGGTCGCTGCGATAATGAATTCTGCTCCTCAGAAAATGCCTTAAATGTGCTCACACCTGCAAGTATCTCCATTTTATTAACTTAATTAACAGAGGGCAACAACTTAACTATACCGCTGCACTTTCATTATCGTTGCGTTCGTATGATCATGTAGGCTTGAGCGTTTCTTTCCGCCTACTCACATATTCATTCTACTAGCTTTAATGCTAGTCAATTAAATAATTCGGTGACTCTTCATTTTACTATACGTATATTTTAATCCTATTCACTAGCTCTCTCGTCTGCACTAAGATATCAATTTTTCTTTCGCTTCCTATGCCTACGATCGGTGTGGTGCAATAGTGAACTCAATCAGCGCTTTGTACTCGTCTTCTGGTTCAGGCACCGTTAGGCGTTATCTAGTAACGGTTATCAGAACAAGCAGTATACGGAGTTTAGGAATATATCAAATATCCACCGCCAAAGAATTGGTGAGCCCACCTCCACCACAGTGGATACTAATTGAATTCAGGGAAATAAACCGTAAAAAACTCATCGAATATTGAAGTTATTTATTATTATTGTTATTATTATTGTTGTTGTTAATAAACAACAAAAGTTAACAGCTACGTTGACATTTTCTCACTTCTTTTTGGCAACTCGATTTACATGTGAATTCTTGGAAATTGCGATAACATTTTTGTTTGCAATTTTCTCCATTTGTCCAGCAATCATTGATACAATTAATTCTTGGAGGCATTACATTACTGACAATTGACTCAGTAGTAAACATAATTACAATTAGAACAGGAATAACCTATGAATATAAAAGTCATTCCAACAGCATAATGATAAATTATAAAATAAATGAAATGAAACTGACATAACCGACGATAATATTTCGCAAGATAACTGTGCAAATAGAAGCCGATTAAAAACTTACTTTGATTTTGCACATAAGATTGTACAAAGATAATAATAAGTATAATCTCATTTCTATTGTGGTAAAATATACTTAAATTTTTCCTCGAATTTAATTCATTTTACGGAAAATGTCAATTTAATTTCCACTTCTTTATTACTAATTTGTTAAGGTTTTTATTTCGTTAGTTAATAGAAGGCAGTCACGTTTAAGACCTAAGCTGAAGTTTTATGTTCATTAGAGATTGCCAGTAAACCGTGTCTGAAGTCTCAAGGAAATTTATACCCACCTAGTCCATTATCATAGTCAAATACGACAATTAGTTGTGACATGTATAACAAGTTACAAGTACTGCTTTTTCTTCAATCCAACAAGAAAGTCAATATTGTTGTTCAAATATTAGTGTTAAGATTCCTTGGCTGTGAAGACATTTTCTCGAATATTTTTCTCTGTTCTTTTTTATCCATCTGTCGATATTTTTCAAATAATTAGTCAATATTTCTTTGTATTTCTATCCATATTACCAACCTTTAATTATTCTTCTTCTATTAATACAATAAAGATACTTTTCAGGATCATTTGATCTGGTGTAAATAAAGCTAATGGTTCTAGGTAAATTGATATCAATATTAAGCATTCAGTACATTATAGCAAAACTGACTTTTATAACAAATTTCCCAAAAAGTACATGTATTTTAGAGAAAATTTTTGTCCAGATTCAGAGCGTAAATCATCAAACGGTTGTTTTAAACGTGCCCTAAAGAAGTTATGTGAATGGTTAAAGCCATATATGAATAAACTACTAATTTTCCTAAAGCATGTAGGCCAGATTCTTACATGAGTGATCTTTGAAATATGATTCATCTGCTAGATAAACATATGAGCTAGTCTGCTGACTAACTAGACAAAATTTCGGAAGAATTTCCAAATAGTAGCTACACTGTCACATGATTTAAATTAAGGCATAAAATCAGATAGAATTTTAAAATGCCTTGTAATATAAAACTAATGAGAAAGGGTGAGCAGTCAAAAGTATTTTGAAAAATGTTTTTTATGCTTCACAATAAGCAAACTAATTGAGAACCAATCTTTCGTTAGTTTTCCTACTTCTAACTTGAAGCTCTTGAATAAGATTGTGCTTAATCTCATCGGATTATCATTGAATCCGAGAACAATGTTTCAATCAGGATACCAGAATTTAAACCAAAAAGTAAAGTATTTCATTATGTTGGTTTTAACGGAGAAACTAGATCCACATTTGTGATGGAATCCATTCATGTTAACCACATTGTTTGCAATCTCATATACAACAGGTGTTTGTCAAATCTACTTCGATAAACCTACCCTACAGAATAAAATGATGTCAGCGAACATTTTATCAACATTTTTGCTGTCATTATTAATTAAACTGAAATCACAGCATGATTACATAAAATTAAGATTCTGCTTTCGATCAAAGAAAATCTTGTTTAGTCTTAATGAAGTTAATATTTTTTCGAAGCGAAAGCTGGTTTCTTTTATTCATTTTATGTATTGACTGAATTTGCGAATAACAACTCATTCTAAAATCAATTGAAGGTGTTTAAAAAGACGTTTTCTTACATACCGTCATCGGTTTTTTTCATTTGTTAAACTATATTAAAATCTAACGGAACAAATTGCATGTAGATAGTATTCTTATCATTTGAAGTACTTTACCATGACCAAGTTTAGACATTGAGACGGTTAGTTAATCAGACGAACCTAGTTGCAAGTTTATAACTTTGTAATGTTAGACTAGCAATACATTATTTCAATGTCTATACACCATAGGGCTTAAAATACCGTTTGGTTAATATAAAACAAATGAAATAAATATACATTCAGTACATTAGCAAATGACTACGTTCTAGAATACATAGTTAACACTGTATTTGTAATTTATTTTGATAAAGTGATATTTGTTTAGTTAAGATGAACTAGTTTAATAAAAAGCTCATAAAACTGCGTAAATGAAGTTACGTATTATTAACAGTGATAAGAGTTGAATTGTACAATAATCTATAATTATTTAATAAGACTTTTCATTCTTTGAATACCTTTCAACTTTTACTAGATTTCACGTTTGAAACGGAATTAGGATATTCTCGATGTGCTTATGACTAGAAGGAGTGATTGTTGCCTGAAAAGGCCCATTTACAGAAAACAGACATGAAACAGTCAACGAGTTAACCTGTATGGCATGAAAATAAACCTCACTCTTTATAATATCAAATAAGTGATATCTGTAGTAGTGAATGTACTGATAAAGAACTTGCATTTCTCGTAAAACCATTGATTAAAAACTACTATCTAAGCCGCCAAAAGGAATTCAGATAAAGAGTCCGAATATTCTGTCTCAAAGAAATACCCTTATCTGAGTCTGAATTTAAAATAGGGACCAAACTTCTGATGCATTTAAAAATTGGCTGTCCACAGACATAAAAAGAATGTTCCATGCTGCAAAGCTGTTGCTAACATTCACTAGCCGAGATTTACTCTTTGTCTCTATAAAGAACAAGCTCTTTCTCCTGGTCTCATTTTTCCGCATCTAGCAGTTCACTTGCCGTTGTACAGCAGAGTAAATAAGCGGTGGACGGAGCGTGATTTCAACTGAGATGCGAAATTTACCAGAGCGGTTCTACAAAGGTGCAAAGAAATTGATCAAGAATTCTATGCTTGAACATCATTCAATTGATCCACAAGTTGGTTTTAGGCTTGTTTATGGAAATCGTTCAAATTTATCAAAATTACTCCGTATACAAATCCTTAAAATATCAAATCTTTACACTCATAAAATGAAGCCTGGACTGAAAGTATAAAACAGAATGTCTCATTGTCATTTTTATCATGGCCTTAAACCATTATTATTATTATTGCCTTGTTCTTATTTCACTGATTTCTCCTTGTCAATAAAACAACCATTATTTTGTCAATTTAGTGATAATGAAGTATTGGATTTAACTTGGCCAGAAAATGTTTATGCTAAAACTTTTAAAATATTTGACAGTTAGCTGTCATGAAAAACAATTTAATAAATTGACAGTTGAGTAAAATTAGATACAGACAGAATCATGTTACATCAAGTTTAACACAGGAGGATTTAACAGAAAGGTAACTTTTAGATAATCATTAGGCCGCATATTTTGCGTAACTGCTAGTTATTTTATCAACTATTTCATATGTATGGTATCAAAGACTAATTTCACTGATCACCATCAAGTAACCGTAATAAATGGAAATGATATATTCATTCCTTTTCTAACATAAAATTACTGTATATTTCCTGTTATGAGATAAATCAGGCATTCTTTTAACATAGATTTTAGTATGAACAATGTACGTTGGGACAATTTTGAAATGAATTTCCAGCGATGAATATCGAAATTCCCGCCTATGGGAAACTAGCCATGAAAAATTATGTTATACAGACTCACTTGTAACTTTAATTTAAAATATTTCTAGAAAACTTTTGATTAAGTGTGCATTTTATTAAATATAAACTTATTCTAGTGTTTATCCTCTTTTTTCAGACTTTTAAAAATAATCATAAATATTGTTTTAACAAAGGAAGTTGAAGTACAACATACAGAGCCTTAAAATATTCTAAATTTATAATCAATAAAATAAAATACTATGGAATATTTATACCAGGTAATTCATACATTAAATTCGTTAATTAAACAAAGAACACTATAAAGTAATGAAAAGTTTTTAACTTTTTTTCTTTAGGTAAGTGTATGATAAAATGCATGTTACAGACGTACTTATTACTTAACTTTCATTTAAAATATCTCAGAGCATATATTTCAATATCCGATTGATTTTATATTTTTAAAGGGAACACAAACAGCTTACCATTTGGATGATTTTATTTCTATGTATATGCAGGAAAGAATACGCCCTTATGAAAATTTACGTTACCACCATAATTGTCATCATAATCTTGTTGAAGTCTCAGTATAGATTACGTTTGTAGAATCTAAGTTGGTTATAAAGGTGTTTCTCTTAAAAGTTGAAATTACATATAAATCAATATATACAGTTAGTTTAGAAAATGTTTGTAGTTCAGTAAATTAACTTAGCTACTACTGCTACCATATACAAGAAAATGTAGGAGTCTTTGCAAAATACCAAGTAGTTACTTACTTTAACCACAAACATGTTGAAGTAGAACCCAAACGGTGTTTTATAATATATATAATGTGTTCAAAATAATTAGCGACATGATTTTTATAAATTACTGATCATTTTTATTTTTCTCTTCCTTTCCGGAAGTATTATCCCATAGTTGTTAAAATTAATTATTGCAGAATTTAATTATGACACTAGTTGGAAGGATTTAGATGATTATTATAAAATCATAAACTAAAAACAATAACAGATTTTGTTCTCATTTTAATACTTGAAACGCTAATAGCCAGAAAAACATGATAATTTACCAGAAACTACATAAAAGAAATCTATTAGTTTGCTGACTGAATTAGAGTTGGTAAAACCCAAATGGTAATGGAAACAGACTCAAAAGTATCTTCTGATTCGAAGCAAAAGACTGTTCAGTCTGCAGACCACTATCTTAAATGAAGCAGTGTTTTTTTAAACATATTAGTGGGATTTTCTGATAAGCGATAGATAATACATAATCTTGGTCGATAGAATCAAAATGTTATATTTTTAATTATCCAGAAGCAGACAATTTTTTGATGTACTGTTTCGCCTTACATGAATACAGATTTCTTTTGGTTTTGTAGTTCTTTAGTCGGATGAATAAAATTTTGAGTTGTAAATTTTAATATCAAAGAAATTATCATTCCGACTTGGTTTAATCGACTTATAACATTCTACTACAAGCTTGTTTTCTGTTATTTTTTGCAAAATGACAGTTTACAATTTCTTCAATATAAAAAGCCGCAGAGATCTCGGTAACCAGCCATGTCATACCTGACCAAATCACTTAGAAAAAAGGAAAAATTAATCAGAATTAATGATTTATCCAGTATAAGAAGTAAAAACTTATTTAATAACTACTTTAATGTACGGAAAATTAAATATCTAATAATTAATAAATGTATACAACCAAGTTAGGTAATAGTACCCAATATTCTCCATTCAGGTGAATAAATCCATTACAGTTTTTATTTAAAGCTGATAAGGTTTTCCTTATGCCTATTAACACTACTATTGCATACACTAAACGATCTATCATTCACTCGAAATTCTCACTTATCTCAAGTAGTCAATCAAAACATCGTAATTTTTTGTATTGTAATGTGTTATTCTGACTGGAAACCTCACCTATATGTATATATACAAGCATTCACAGCGCACGAATATGATAAATTTACACTGATTATTTGACTTTCAGATTTCATTAGGTCCGTATTGAGTTGTTCAATAAAAAGACAATTATTCAGCATAAAAATGAGTAAGATACTGAACACATAATGCCTACAAAAATTACCTTCATCCCTTTTGTTACATTAATCGATTGAAAAGTTAGTATGTGTAGAAAGTTTCTATTTAGAATCAGTATGTAGGGTTTGAGTATTAGTAAATATTCAGAAACATATTACTAATAATAATCTAATGTCCACTAACTCCCGGACACGATTTCAAGAATTCGATTTCGAAATCTTGACCAGTGGAGTTCAACTTTGACGGGTATGAGATAGTGATCTACTTCAAGCAGCGGTAGGTGTCGGTGAAACATCGGGATTAAATGCGGCTAGACATAAAAAATTTTAGACTCCCTTTTCAGTGGTCTAGTTGTTAGTCGCTCACCGCTAGACTGACGTTTGTGGACTCAATATTGTTTGAAGTCATGAACGAGTACTGCTGAGCAGTCTAGTATAAGGACAAAACGACTGTCCGGGGCCTCTTGGTTTTCATTGGTGGTCTAATTAAAATTGGTTCATGGTGTGAACTTCGAAAATTAGAATAAGAGTATATGTTAACAAAAGAAGTGTAAATTGTAACCAATTGTAAACAAGAAAACATTGTTACAAATAATGGTAAGAAACTAGTACATGGAGTGAACATTTGTTAAATTCACCTCCCTAAGAATTACTCAACTTGTTAATTTGGTTACATAAATGAGTGACATCTACAAGCAACCTATGTTCTTGTTATTATAATGTTTACTTATCGGAAAAACAGGATGAAAGTATGTATTCTGTTTTCATGTCAATTAATCGGCCATTTTCAAAATCAATATCAACGGTCTTATTAAAGGTTTAACACCACAAATAAGGAATTTCATTTCATAGAAATTATACTTTGTGTAAATAACTGATTAAATATGAAACAAACTTATCATTATTTCCTCATATATATATATATATATATATATATATATATATATATATATATATATACTGATACTCAATGTACAACAGCACCATAACAGTACTGAGCTCTCTAAATTAAATGGCTCAATTTCAAATTTTTCACTGGCTCTTGAGTTTATTATTATATGGGCCTATTAAAACAAAAATGATTCTCTACTAGTATTCCACAGATATCAGTCAAGTCTGTTCTGTCGACCTCCTGTATGTTTAGTGGTTTTCAGATCTTATTATCATGATTAGTCCTTGCACTTTTGTAGTTATTTTAGATTATTTATGACTTCGACTAAACTAATCTCTGTCAATGTATTGACGATTACAGATTAACCTGAATCTCATGCTACCAAAAACTCTTATGGATCCCTAAAATTTCCTCTATTAAAATTTTATTCGCTTTCATCTATATAGATTGATATCAGTAATCATATATCGTGTAATTTCACATCATATATACCTTCTTTAAGGTATAGCTAAATGTTATGACAACTTTGTCCTTCCAGCGATTGGTGCAATTCATTGTGTTAATGTAGTATTTCTCCTTTTTATTTTCGCATTGTTTAGCTTGCTTAAAATTGATCTTAGTAGAATACTGATATTGAACATTTTTAAAATTTTAGTGTTCATTTCTAAAATATTTTACATATATAGCATGGTGATGAATTTATGCACGATAATTTTAATCATATAAAGTTTTCATTCTAATGAACTTATTGACTAGTTTGATCGGGTTTAATGACAATCAAATCATTAAGGTATTGTTAGATTGAAGAACTACCATGTTTTGCAATTTAAATTTTTCGGAAAAAAACAATGAATGAAATCTCTTCACAGACAGATGATCAACATTTACAAAACTATCATGTTTACGTGATGATACATTCATGTGAAACGGTATTTCATAATTCCTAAGCAATGTGTTATTACAGTTTCATTATATAAAGTTCTTTCATTTAACAAAATGATAGACGGCACTTTTTCAGGACTAGAAAATATATCAAACTATTTCGAATAATGATGGAGTCGAGACTATGGTTTTCATCCTGATATGTATGAACTGGCTGATTGAATAATATCAAAAACAATTCAGCAGTTTGCATGTCTAAAAACAACAATTAAAAATGTCTAAGGAGATTAAGAATAATAAGGTTTGTAAAATAAAATGAATTCATTCTATTACATATTTTCTTATCAGCTGTATACAACTTCAAGTTACAATTCATAATATCATTATTAACAAATGTTTGGTATATTTTTAAAGTTTAGATAAATATTTGAAAAGTGAACAAAATCGTAATAACAATAAGAATTTAGGATACAACATATATAAACAGACAAAAATCACTAGTCTTACTCCATGTTTGCATAGGCGTTTTTTATCAAGCATTTCTGACCTAATTTGTCTACATGAAAAGAATGTGTGAATAACCTTTCCCTGCTATGATGATTGGAGGTTCATTTAATAATTTGAACATTATCAATATTTCTAACCTTTTCTCTAGCCTTGATGTATATACTTTTTACTATTCTCTTATCATTTTTTTATTCATCTCTTACATAATCTTATTGATGTTCAGAATTTTATCATATTGGGCAATTGCCCGATTGGTTATTAATTTCATTAACTATACAATAAGCTACTTTCATTTTGGTTGTAGTTACTTGTAACTACAACAGTTGCTTTATTCTGCATCATTACTTTCTAACATATAAATATACATTGATTTTAGCTATATTTATTCATACACTCTGTATCCGTATTCGTCTTAGTAGTATGATTTTCATTACGTTTCAACCATTTAACTAGACTTCACAAATTAAAGTATGCTAACCATTTGGTAATAATGATATTATGAATTGTGACTAGAAGTTGTATACAGCTGATCAGAAGCTATGAAATTAGATGAATTCATTTTATGCAACAAAGTCTGTTACTCTTGATCTGTTGAGGCTTATCAAAAGTATCTGACTGTATGAAATTAAAAAGACATGTTTTAAGCATTAAATTGTAAATATGCTTTCTAAATTCACTAAACAGTGTAACCGAAGGCTGACTTACAACATACTAATATTTATGATCAACTGCATGATAGTTGTCATTACAATTCAATTTTATGTCAACATTTAATGAACACAAAATTGAACTATCCATTGGCATGGCCTGTTAACTGTTGTTATTCAAAGCAATCATAAAAACTTAATAGAAGTGAATAATTTTTTTCCTTTCCATCAAACAACACTTCTAGCAATACATGATCAGTACCAAACTGCAGTAACATCAGTTACTGAAACTGCTCCATGTATGAACAGATGTCACTTAGATACTTACTATTTCTCTTCGTTCCCTGGCATTACATTATAATGTTGTTGCATATAAAATATTTTCTCATCTAAGTTTGTATTTTATTCATTAGCCCTGTCATACTACTTACAACTTCTATAAGTGGACGCAACTGTGATATAATGAGAGGTGTGTTTGTAATTAAGTGTAGTTAATTTTTTATGTATTGGATTAAAAGAGGTTGCATCATCTGGCAAACTAATCAAAATGCGTCAACAGATTACGTTACATCATCGTTTTAGAAGCAATAAAAGGTGGAAATCTATAGAATAAGAATTAAAGATAATTGTCTTTTCCGTAAAGGAGGCGAAGGCGAAGGTGATAATTGGTGCTCATATTTTATAAAATTCCAAAGTGGTGTTACGACCATGAGAGAGTAATGGAATGAACATGAATTTTCCGTACACAAAAGTCGTGACTGAAATAGCAATTTTCTACAGCTTCATCGGTACACAAATTCCTCACCCAAACCTTTTTTTGAGCCGGTTCTTCTCACCTTATAGAGGATCTTGAAAGATGAATCTCGGTGGGTTGTGACTTAAGTTGACCGAAACATTCAAGGATTGAGTTGCTGATATATTTGCATTATTTTTTAGCTAGCCGTGTAGGATAGTTCTCAGATACTGGTCGACCAAGTGCATGCTTATAATGTCTGATGTTACTTGATACACAAAGGCATATAAACTGATAAATAAGTTATTGATTCTAAAACTATTACATAAAGTAAGCTATTGATGCCCTTTGATTACTTTGCCAAATGATGTAATTCCTTTTTATTCAACACTTAAAAAATTAATTACATTGAAATAACACCCTTCCATTTAAAAATTGTTATTATTTTACTCAATATCCGAAACCTTTCGATAATCTTGACCATATTACACAAGACCACTTCATTTTCATGGCCCTCCACTTGAATATGTTTGACTGTCGTTGATGATTTTGCAAAACTTCCCTATTTTACTACAGACTACCACGTGAAAGACTACCTGTAAGTACCACTGTACAGCTTTAGAAAATGATATCGTCGAAAAGAAAATTTTTATCGGTGTTACGTCTTTCTTTTTATTGAATTGATGGGCTTCTTAGACACTTTCAAAATGACAGGTATTCTTAAAATCCAATAACTTTAACAGTGGGAGATGGCGATAGTGGGGTATTGCTTTGCTTATCCCTTAATGAACCGAATGATATTTCAAGGTAGGAAAACTTTGAATATTATTAAAAATGCAGAATTATTCAACATATATTCCATCTGTATATAAAAGTTGAATCGGGTCCGCTTTAGGACGGTCGACATTATCGGTATAAACAAGGTTGCCGATATCACACTACCATAAATCCAGTTACATGACGATCCTGGAGCAAGAACATAGATAACAATTTTGCCTAAAAACTCGTCATATTGGTCCTAATTAATTTGATATTGAAATTTCCAGTTTATGATTTTGGAGATTATTGATGGTTGCGGAATTTCATGAACTGGTTCAAGCTGGACATTTACACCGTAGAATATGGGCTTGGTGGTCAAGACGTTAAGAGTTTGCGTACGAGATTGAAGGTCATTGGTTCGATTCATACTCCCAAGGTCATGGAAATTCATTAATGATGAGTCTCATACTAAGACGAAATGTCTGTCTAGTGATTCCATTTTTTTGATGGTGGTCTAACATCGATCAGTGCCTGATTTAAATGATAATGGAATATTTCCACGTATTGCAACTGAACATGAAATTTACGAGTATTAAAAACTTATTTTTCTGAATGCTCTTGAAAATAAAGACTATAATTTTGCCTAACTTAACACTGATCGTCAGTCATACCCAGCGAATATTTTGTTAACAAAGGAATCTAGCAAAATATTATCTTGTGGGGATTTATTAGACTTTCTAAAAATTCACAAAACTATTTCTTAGAAGTATGTTACAGAAAGAATTTTCAAGATCACATTTTCTGAAATAAAGTAGAATCGCTTCAGTCTAAAGTACTTTTGAAGTCATTTTCAAATTATCAAGTTCCTAATATTTTCTAATCCTCCTAACATTAGCAACCAAGAAAAGTCGATATTTGTAAAATATGTTCTATCTAAAAATAATATACATACTATTTCAATCGAACAAGAAAATTATAACTAATGACTATATCAAAAAGTCAAAGTGTTTGATTAGCATTGAATGCTTCAATATAACAAGATTTTTGACATTCATAAACAGTTTTGTCGCAAATAATTTTACAGAAATTAATCATGGAACATTTATATTCACATGTCATAAATGCATATTGGCAAGTTTGTAAACAATCTACTAATGTTTCACGATTTTTTTCAGTCAGAACAATCGCTTCACTTATCATTAACATAACTGAACAAAGCATGAGTACTGAATAGATATAGTTATGCATTCTTGGATGATAAGAGTTTTGAAGATTGACGGATTGATGTGAATACCTGAAAACAAATGATCAAATTAAATAAAATCCAAAAAATACTAGAACAAATTTCAAAATTATAGTTATGTAAATGGCATTCTGAATTTATTATTGAACAAGTATTCGGAATATGTTTTAATGAACCAAGCCCAGATGAGATAAACAATTTATTTCAAGAATACCCAGTTTAGTAACCAAAAAGTGTACACCTTATCATAAAAAGTTTATTCGCAAAACAAGCGTTCTGTTGGCTGCCTTTTTCCACGTATCTTCTATTCCTCAAAACACCTAGATTATGCCGTGAATCCAGATTAGACAACCTTTGCTTCGGCCGTAACTTCAGGGCAAACTGTGCTTTATATCAGCTGCATACTACTTATAAGCTCCACTATAAGTAGCACACACCACAATTTCACTAACCTAGCATATTTTCTCAAGGGGTGTAAATGAAATTTGAATGCGTTTTTTCATAATTATAAACCATGATAATAAAGCACAAAATAGAAGAAATCAATTGAGAACGGTCTAGCTAAGAGTATACGTTTCTACAGAGCATTAATTATTGACAGCAAAATAAAGGCAATATTATATTGATCACTTTTATCCAATGTATTATTATTATATTATTATATATTATATCATTATAATATTATAATATAATACAATAATAATATAGTATAATAATATATGATAATACTATGTTATTATATATTATATGCTAAAGGTAAAAAGATTTCTCTCAACGAGTGATAAATAATATAATGCAAATCACAAAAAGTAATTCATAAAAAAAATTTCGTAAAATGTTTTAATGTTAATCATCAAGTGAAACTGTATTTCGCTTGAAGTAACTTTATCATGTTAATAATCTGAAATATAGAGAGGAAAAACTACATGTAACTGTACAGCTTACCGATGACTATGAATAACAGAGACAGAATGACTAACAGTAGGCATATCAGTCAGTAAAACTAAGTGAGATCTTGATAAGTAAATAAATTAGGAAAAGTAAAAAAAGGAGTACAACCGAGTTCTATAAGATAATGAATCGATTTATCCAGAGAGAAAATATAGTGGATACAATGATGACGAATGATTAATTATGCTAAAGAGATAAATCTCCAATTTCATTTCCGTATATTAGCATTTATGCTAACTCGGTTTGTGCGATAGCGGTTATGAGAAGCCCAATACGGATGAAGTTGTTTTGTACAATCGAGTACAGACAGATATAAGAATGAGAAGTATGAAAGCGAAACGAAGCAAATGGACCAATCCCATTTTACAAGAAATGACTATTTTTATTCATTTGAAATCATAAATCAATCATTGTTAGATCACCATTAGAAACCTGGAAGCACTGGACGGACGTTTCTCCCTGGTATGGGACTCATCAGCAGTGCACATCCATGACTCCTGCATCTCATAGGATTCTAACCTGTGACCTTCGGTATTGTGCGCGAACACCTGACCATTGGACCCCTGGGCCGACATCCAACGGTGTTAATATCTAACTCTGATTGATCTAGGGATTTTGCGCGACCTCACCCATTTGTCTTTGGTAGTTACTGCCTACACCCAACAGGGTTGAACTCCATCAGTCACGTCTTCTCGCTAGAACTTCGAGAATTTCCTCACGAAGCTAGTCACTACTGAGCACGTTTTACGATATTTTCAATTAGAGTTATGGAGATTGCTGTTTTTACACATTTGCAATCATCAATCAATCATTGTTAAACCACCATTAGAAACCTGGAAGCACTGGACGGCCTTTACGTCCTGGTGATTTCAACTGTTTATAAAGACTGATCTCCATAACTCTAATTGTAAATATGTATAGTCAGACAAAGACAAAATAGGTGTGTGTAATAAGCAAAGTAAGCAAGTAAAAATATCCAATGTTATAGGCGAGATTCATTGACCATGCCGAAATAAAAGTGAATGATGACTCGAGAAGAGTAGATTAACTACACATTGTCCCAAACGTGCGACAAGGCAAGTGCGCCTGATATAATGGCACACACTACAATATAGCCTACGCAAAAAGAGTCGGAAATTTGATCTAATCATTACAACTACTTTTACTTTGTTATGGAAAAACAAATATTTCCTATCATTTTAAACCTTCTGAGCACTAAATGATAGTATTTCTACTGCTGATTTTAGGTATACACATTAAAAGTCATTCATCTTTTTTTGAAACGTGAGTACAAGCCTAAAACTTGTTTTTCAATTTTTTCTTAACTCAGTGTGGTAGTGTTTCGTTCTCTGAGCTGGTTGTTTTGGTTGTGGAGCTTTCATTGTTCTTCTGAACAACCCCATCAGCACAAACTTTAGATAGAAGTGAAGCATTCGGATTTCTCCACGTTTGACCTGTAGCTTGTTCTGCTAACCTCGATCCTGATTGGTTGCTTTGAACCTTTGACCTGTCGTTGTTTGCAACTTAGTTTTGAATGCCTCCCCCTTTTGATCTGTTTCTTGATCTTGTGTCACCTATAATTTTCCTGATTGGTTGATAAATTGGGTCAATCTCGATGTGTTTGTTGATTGCTAATTGACCTGAGTGCCAAGCTTCTAAAAATTTTCTCGTGTTCTTTGTCCTCCCCCTACCCAGTATTTCCACATTGTTCCAATCAAATGTGTGTCCATAATTGTCGGTGTGTATTGATATAAGCGAAGCGTTGTCGTAGCGTTTGACTGCTAATTGGTGTTCACGTAAACGGAGCTGAAGAGGTCGTCCACTTTGTCCTATGTAGTGTTTTTCACAGTCTGAGCAATTTATTTTGTAGATGATATTTGGATTTTCTTCCTTTGTCATTTTGTCCTTTGGTCTACATAGGATTGACTGAAGTGATTTGGTTTGTGTGCCACACCTATTCCAAATGGTTTCAGTAGTCGTGCCGTATGCTCCGATATGTCTTTGATGTATGGCAGGAAGATGCGTTTATTTGTTCCTGTGCTTGATTTCAATTCTGATGATGGTTTCGGTTGATGTTTTCTGATGAAGTCGCGTGGATAGCCGTTCTTTTGGAAGATAGTCATCAGGTGTTTTTCCTCGTTTTTTAATGTTTCGTATGTGCTGCAGTGTGTTTTCGCTCTCTTGATCAGAGTTTGTATACAGTTGATCTTGTGGGTTCTTGGGTTATTGCTGTCCTAGTTGAGAATTACGTCGGTGTGTGTTGGCTTCCGAAATACTTGAGTTTCTAGTTTTCCTGTGTTAGTTCTGGTGATTAGTACATCCAGGAATGATAGACTGTTGTTTGATTACTTTTCCATCGTGAATTTGATGTCATCAAAGACGTTGTTGATCTGATTGTAGATGTTCTCCAGCTCATTCCTTTTGATAATAACGAATGTGTCGTCTACATAGCGAACCCACAATTTTGGCTTGATCACCGGCAGAATCAACGCTTTCAGTCTCTGCATTACAGCTTCGGCGATTAGTCCTGATATTGGTGATCCCATTGGTGTTCCTGTTATTTGTTCGTAGACTCTGTTGTTGAACTGAAGATACGTTGTTAAGCATAGGTCGATGAGTTCAAGCAAGCTTTGACTCTGAAGCTTTGTTTAATTTTTCAAGCATTTTTAAGAAATACATTAATTCTATTAATGTTTATAATAGAAATTCCACAGCTTCAGGAATAGAATAGTATTCTGAAACATGTTTTCATTCAGTTATCACTAATTTTAAATATTCTTTTACGAGTATTTTCAACTTTTGTCCAAGGGTTATATTGATTAGATCAATATAACATTTTCGTCTGAATGCTGTTCAACATGCTCCATATCAAGAATATTTAGTTAAACTGTAAGCAAATGACATAACGATTTCGGGTAATGTATAAACCTAATCATTTTAATTACCAATAAACTAATTAAAACATGTACTTCACAACTTTTCATGTGATTTAAAACCTACTGTTAGTTAGATTTAAACATATTTGACTATAGACAAAAATTCAAAGAAACTAATAAAATGTGAGACATTGTTAATCTACTTAATTAAGTTTTGTTGAATATGTGAACTATGAATGGACTTAGTCAAAATTTAAACAAGCATTTCGATGAATATAAACTGTTGAAGAAATGAAGAAAGGTTAGGCAGAAATTATGCTGATGAAAACATCAGAAAGTGACATTAAGTAGTGTTAACATTCTTTCCTAAAATCTACTTCGGTTTTTTCTCACTCAAATAATTGAAGTCAAAATTGGCGAAGATAAATATGTAATTAAACTTCATTATATCACGGTCATTGACTTATATCTGTAAACATTGTTGTTGTTTACAATGGGTTTTGAATCGTCGAGTGGGTGACATGTATCGTTGAATATATACATACATTATACTTATCATACTATAGACCTTGTCCGATGATGATGATTAAATTAATTGATTTACTTCAATATTGACTGCCTTATAGTCAAACCATAAACAAACTTATCATTTAAACATGATTGGATAGATTATTGTGTAGTGTACAATGGTTTTCAACTTTATAAATTGGACAATTTAGAATATTTACTTAGAAACATTTGAACCAATCTGTCAGACTATTCGATGATGATTTCTGTTAAACAAAAATGAATGTATACTTTTCATATATGTTCAATATTATTTTACCATTAGCTTTAACTTTAGTCCTAGACAATTACAATTATTTACTAAATACCAGTGTACACATTATATTAAACTAAGAGAGTGAAGTTAATACAGGAATAGGTTGTATGATTTGACTAATTTACTAAACATTTGTTAAGTAATAATATTTGCAATTAGTATATCTGCAATGTGACTGACAACAGAATCTAAGTTGATGTCTTTAACTGGATGTTCAGATTGAAACTAAAATGCGGCATCTATCGCTTCAAACACTAAAGCATTATCTGTTGGGTCACTATGTTTAGATGGCCTATGGCTTATTTAACAGGTAAGATGTAATATATAACAGCTTGAATTTCCTAGTTGTTTTTATATCGAGGACTGTTATCATGACTCAGTGGCTCAATGGAAAACCCGATATCGTTCGAAGCATTATGAATCGAGTTGAACCCTTGGTGTGAATATCAGCAGTTTTGCTTAAGTGCAACACTCGATGAGTAACAAATGAGAAGAAACACATGATAATAGAAACTTGTCAACTGAGGTCATAAATCTATCATCGACGAAGAAAAGCAGATATAAATGAATAGCTAAAATTATTTTCAATCCCTGTTCCTAAAATTATTTATTTCATAATTAGGCATTCAATAAATTTTTTTCTTATAATCAATCCTCTGAAAAAGATTTATTGGTTTTTGAAATGACGCTTTGTTTTTATTAAATTCAAACAAAGGGCTGAGATTAAGGGTATCACTGTTGTTATACTGAACTTCTTTTGTTCGCTCCGTTTCGTGGTGGTAAGTGTGTACTGTGAAATAATCAGGAAGAAAACATAATAGTTGTCTAGTATTATATTGTGCTGGACAAACTTATCTAGTTGATGCCAGTCTACAACATAAACTCTGTTCGACTGAAGCTAATCAGTGAAATGATTCTTTATTATTTCAAGCTAATATCAATAATCGATTGAAAATCAGGACTGTCAGCTATTAAAATCTTATAAAAAAAAACCTTGTACAATCAATAAAAACCAGGAACAAACGATAGCGGTCTGATTATTGAATGAGATTCCTCTGTATTAGAAATCTGTGAGAACATTTAGATACCGAAATTTCAGGTTCATTTATTATTAGTTTTCATCAATTCTCTAATTATTTTAACTTGGCATTAGAGGCATCCGTTATAGTTCCAAAACTTTTCAGGACATCAGTGATTACGAAGTACAAAGAAGAACTATGAATACTTGAATTAGTTAAAACTAATATTGAACATAAAGGTAGGTTGATTTATTCCAAAAACACGTTTTCAAATCCTTCAATCAATTCTTTAAGTAAGTAATTTGATTTTCAAACAAAATCATCTTGAATCACAAATCTGTAGTTTTTATCATGCAGTGAGATAGGTTATAGAACTGATAAAGCAGGAATTTCTTTTCAAGCGTCTTATCCTGCTTTGAGACTATTCAGTATTTTATACCATTCCTGTATAAAAAGTTTAGTGAATATGACCGAACGATAAGATCAGTATGAGCCGTTCTTCCATAGGTAGAGATAATAATAAATAAACATTGCTTTCTAGTCTACTTTACATGATTAAGGTAGTCGTTTCGTGCAACAGATATGCATATGAAAGATAATGTTTCACTTAGTATAATTCCATCGAAAGGCAACTATTTGCGCAGTAAAGTCGAAAATTTAAAACGTTTTGATCAAGTTTTCATTTTTCTCTAGGGGCTACATTTCCACCATTTCTGATACGTATGCTAATTCGTAACTAAAACTTTATGTTGTGTTTATTTGCACAATCATTCACGATCGCTTGCTTTTTCCTGTTCTTTTGTAAGTGGAGCTGATAGATTTAGGCGAATTATCCGTCAGTCTATAAATCACGCAAAAATTGTTTTGAAATGAATTCTGATTACATATTTCATTCTAGGAGTTCCTATTTAGACATATATTTATACATAACCTAGTCTGCAGTTGGGCATAAAGAGTAAAAGCCTGTTTATTTATGGCACAGTGTCATGAAGTAAGGTATTCTCTGTTTTGTCACTAATTCTTCTATATACTTGCAACAATCGTACAAATCAATCCATTCACGCCTTACTCAACATCACTTTTCTTACTACAAACTAGTAGAAATCCTGAAGCTGTCTCCTATTTTCAGATGAATAAAATCAGTTTTAGATGAGCTTTTATTCAAATTGTCTTCATTTGTTGTCACTAGTTTGCTTTACATGTTTTGATGTCATATTACATCAAGTGTGTTTTTGTCATAAACAAGCAGGTATGTTGTTCTCATTGCATCTCAGAAAATTAATGTAAAAATGGCTTCTAATTAAGGTTACCTCCTGTATTTATTGCAATAACTACCCCTAACCTTTCTTCGAATACTGACAACACAATAGTAACGTTCCCTTAAAAAATAAAGTTTTTCTTTATAGATACTATGAGACTATCACCTAGTGGGATTAATGATACTAGTCCCAAGCTTAACACAGTGATACTAATTCATTTCAAACTAACTATATTCCATAAAATTTTCCTACGAATTAAACTACATTCTTAACTATTAATTTTGGGAACAACGATTAAATTATTCATTTTAGTTCTAAGCAGGAATGACAATAATAACTTAAAATCACACCAACGGGAAACAAATCGCACAAGTTGATTTCACAATAAATCATGTCAATTTCAACCATAATTTTCATCCTCTATTTATTGGTTCGAATAGAAATTGTTCATGATGAAGATTATCGTTAAAGAAATCAACTGTAAAATACAACAGTCTATTTCTGAACATGAAAAAGGAAACTTTGCAACATAAACAAAGATAATAAACAGCAATTTTGGCATAAAAGTTCGATAACTTACCGAAAATGTCTGGCTCTTATTTATTAATTACTTATACAGCAATACATAAAATGTGTTCTTTAAAATTAGTCTTTATAATGTGTATAAACCGACATACACAGTCAAATTAATGATTGGATACAAATGTCAAATCACATGTGCAACAAATATAAACACTAGTTAATGATAATTCAAATGTTAGTTTGTTTTATTACCTTATTCACTATAGCACAGTATCAATATTTATCAGTCACTATTTGTCCTAAAAATCAAAGCCACTAAATATGTAATGTTCATATTAACTATTGAAATATTATCAAAATGCTCCATGACAAATTGATAATTCTGGTATAGTTCTTAGGTTCTTCGAAATCACTGTTTGTTTATATAACTGTATATTAAAAGTAGGTTGGTTTATTCTTTTTTTAGTAGAATGATAAAATAAACAAACAAATTATCTGTCTATTCTAAATTTTATGTTCCTGCTGATCTACTTATCATTTTTTTCACATTGATAAGTGATTAAGATACATACTTTTAGTCTCATGGCACCTCGATAAAACATTTTGTGTTCATCCCACCTGGGATCAGTCCAAATATCATTTTCTATTCATTGAAATAAGTGTCGAATTGCCTTGTTAGCATAAAATGTGATGAGTTCGTCAAAAGCATGAAACGTAGTGATTTCAACACAGAAATTCTAATAGATCTGAATAACCATGGAACCTAGGCAATTGAGAGTACAGCGGGAGTCTGAAACGAAAAATGTTTTCTTAAAACACACACTTGAAGTGAGGGGTAGTTCAAAAGAAACAAAACACCTTGTCAAAAATTGGAAAATGGTAAACATTTTTTATGTACTGCTACGATAAAGCTAAGAGAAAAATTCTTTCGTTTCGGAAAAGAACAGATCTAAATAAATCAGTATATTGTTTCTTCGACAGTCAAATTTAACCATCAACTTTTAAAACCCAGTAATGTGAGAGTTTGTCATCTTAAAAGGGTAGAACAATTGAGCAAATCTAAGAGCAGATTACTGAACCGTAACAAATAAACCATGTTAAATGTTCATAAAAACCTGCCAAAAACAAAGTGGTAAAGAGAACAAAATGAAAAATCGTCAATAATCTAAATGAGAGGGGAATATTGTTGGGGACGTTAGATTCCCAGAACTCGCTTGATAAATGTCTTACTTTCGGATTTTATTCATGGGCTGATCAGTTGACCTTGAGATCACATTTCCAACCAGGAAAATCCTTGGATATAATTGGTTACTGTGTTATTTTAGTGTGCTATTTTTGTGACTCTCCCTAGGACGTTACTCTGATGTAAAAATAAACGCGATTTGCGTGCTTGAGATCACTAAGTTTGCTGGGTGTTTATAGAGCACACTTTCTACGCTATATCAAGACTTCTTCGTTAGTTCCTCTGGGGCAACCAATCAGAGTAGCATAACGTGTCACTGGTTCATTATCTCGTTCTCGTGTATCGACTAATGTGAACTCGTAATAGTTTTAAGCATATCAAGTGACGAGCATAACAAATATCATTATATATATATATATATATATATATATATACAGAGAGAGAGAGAGAGAGAGAGAGACAGGAATAAGTTGGTGATAACTCATTAATAATGTTAGCGCATAACAATCAAGGTGAGTTGTGTCTAATTTACTTTATCTTAAAAATGAGAATGCATCAGAATGTACAAGTCATGTGGTTTTTTTGCATTCTCTTCAGTTGGATTTATCTTTTTTCGATATTTTATTAAATTTACGTTTTCGTTATTCAAATACTCTAAAATCATTTAATTACTCTTAGTTATTTGGGCACACTTCGTCTACTCAGAATGCAATAAAAAATTGTTACCATAAAAATCTTCATTTCTTAACATTTGGAAATGTTAGTATAATGATTATTGTAAAAGCTGAGGGCCATAAACTCTATTGCTAATTCTTCTTATCCAGGCGAAAGTATTTCTTGTCCACAGGAAAATAGTACCAACACACAATATCTCTTCTAAAAGCAATTGTCCAACAAAGTCTGTACAGGTTACTACACGTAAAGTAGCTTTGGAAAGTGTTGAAGATTATTGAATAAGCAGAGAATTCCTCGTACTCCTGTCTACAGATAGGATGTGAATGTTGAATGACTAATAACAAAACTATGGAACCTTACTAAGAAAATATTCGTTTCATCTACGAATTGTTGCATACTTTGAGCTAAAAAAAGTGATTCTTTTACTCCTAAGTGGATATATGAATTCAACTGTTTTTATACTTAGGCGATACATAAGCAGAATGACTGATGCATTTTAAAGTCTGCCTAAGTAGAAGATCAGTCAAACTAGTCGTAATTTCAGCGTCACCTCAGTGAGACAAATGGCATAACATAGACAAAAAGTCTTACTTACTTACTTACGCCTGTTACCCCCGATGGAGCATAGGCCACCCACCAGTTTTCTCCAAACAACTCTGTACTGGGCTTCCCTTTCTAGCTCTTTCAAGTTTTGTTCATTATTCTCATGTCTTTCTCTATTTCTTGGCATAAAGTGTTGCGTGGCCTTCCTCATTTCCTTTTTTCATTTGTAGAAACGCAGCCCTTGATTTTCCGATCTGCTCATTCACATATGCGTCAAATTCACCTTGTTCATCGATCATACTTCCAGATAAGTAAAGGATTTTACATCCTCCAAGGCGTGTCCATCAAATGAGATTTGGTTGGCGCATGTTGTGTTATATCGGAGAAACTGGCTTTTCCATTTTTGTATGTTGAGAGTTGTTGCTGCAGAGGTTGCTGCTACCACTGGTCGTCTTCTCTTGCATTTGTTATTGCGTGCGAGATAGAAAAGCCAGATCATCCGCAAAGTCCAGATCGTCCAGCTGCGTCCTAACTGTCCATTAGATACCATGCTTCCCTCCAGATGTCGACGTCTTCATAATCCAGTCGATGACCAGGAGAAAGAGAAAGGGTGAGAGTAAGCAACCTTGCCTGACACCGGTCTTCACCTCGAAAGAGTCTGTCAGCTGACCTCCGTGCACGATTTTGCAGTTGAATCCATCATAAGAATTGCGCATGATGTTGACTGTCGAAGACGCCTCCATAGTGTTTTTCCTGTCCATGCTATCGAATGCTTTCTCGTAGTCGATGAAGTTGATGTAGAGTGGTGAGTTCCATTCAATTGATTGTTCCACAATGATCCGTAATGTTGCGATTTGGTCAGTACACGATCGATCCTTACGAAATTCAGCATGTTGGTCTGGAAGTTGGGCGTCTACGAAGTCCTTCATTCTGTTTAACAATACCCTGTTGAAGACTTTGTCTGGTACTGAGAGAAGAGTGATGCCTTTGTAGTTCTCACACTTGCTGAGATCTCCTTTCTCTGGTATTTTGATTGGGTATCTTTCTTTTCAGCCTGATGGTACTTGTTCTTCATCCCAAATCTGGTTGAACAGAATGTGAAGTACTTTTGCAGTTCCTTCCACGTCCGCTTTCACCAGCAATCTTAACGGTCGTTTATCACAACTTACAAAGTACAGTATGATCATTATTAATCAATATTACGGATACGGAACTTATTTACCTGATTCACCATCTCCATCAAATCAAATCACAACAAAAAAAATCATCTTCTGATTCAGTCTCATCAGTTGAACAGAGATACCCTTTTCATATTTACCTTGTTAATTTTTATTCTTGCTATTCTCAGCTTAACATCTTAGCGTTATTCATACATTTTACTGATTCCTGAATTTTAGTATTTATACGACTAGACTATTCCTTTACTACATACACACACTCATTCAGCTAAAGAAATTTTCTCTACAATACTATCATTTATTAAAGTTCTGCGTTCCTACTTATGATGCTTGAATAAATATATGAGTCCGTAGAAGAATACAAATAGATTACATATCAATGCCTTTAGAAATTTTAAGTAACAATCAATGTTTGTGCAGTAATCCAGAGGCTGAAGAAGAAAAAAGATAAAAATTATCTATAGATCAAAAATATGAGAGGTGATTGTCTGCTTGAAAAATCTGAAGAATCAGTTTTAGTCCAAAGGTCGTAATAACAGCAGAATAATGGTAGTGATTAATTGCATGGGGGTAATAATAACTGACCACGGATTAAAAGGTATGATACGATAATAAATAACAAAACAAAAACTTACATCCATGAAAAGGTGTAGGAGTACATGCGTCGCATTTTCATGCATACCTCAGGTTTAAATTGGTGAATCTCCATAGCTTCATTAATGTGCAGCATTTTTATTCAACCTCCCCTTAGTTTCACAAACTTAAAAGCGAAAATGATTTTGAATGGTGATCATAATGAAGTAACATGGTCTAATAGAACAAGAAGTCTCAGTAAGGAGCTACTGATTGTTTTGTATTCAACTTTCGGAAGTTACTTCAAAAGGTGTTCTGAGAGGCATCAAAAAAGTGTTCGCTTTGTGGAGCTAATGTAAGCTTCCCCACAAATGTAAGCAAATTAATAGATGGAGACTGATATGGCCTAAAGTGAAATTCTGTTTTTAGTACATACATGGTTGACAGGTCAGATGGAGACAGTAAGAATTCTCACTGAGAGAAAAGTTTTTTCAGAGATTGTGAAGTTCATTTATTTCATATTTCCGAAGCTGTATCTCATTTCAATTTGATTTTCATTTCCTGAGAAACAAGGCAGGAAATGCGTTTTTATTTGCTATCATAATGAAAATGTTTACTGACTATTCAAGTTAGTTGTGTACCTAGATAGCTCATGAACTTAAACGAATGTTGCATTCTGTTTCTACTAAAACTTACAGACACTTCGATAACAAAGTTAAAATGACAAAATTCATAAAAATATACCCTTTTAATTTTACTTTCAACAACAGAAATACTGATTATATTTCATTAGCCAAAATGATTCTTGGAACTTTTTATGTCTCTGACAACAATTATGTACTCACACACTGTATAACCAACTGCTTTCCGTTTTCATTAAATGCTTTATTGTAAATTGAATGTTCACTAATTCATTAAATA